CCAAATACTGCTGTCCGGAGCAGGAAAACAGTTAAAACAGCGGAAAAGCTGTAGAAAACTGAGAGAAATTCGTAGGAAAAACTTGTATTTTACTAGTAGAAGAAGAAAACAGCAAAGATACAATTGATCCTCAATTCGAGAGGAGGATCGATCTCTCCCAAATCTCTAGACGCCGCTAGAGCCCAAAGAAAACCTAAATCTAAGAGATCTCAAATTTCAGCCAAATTCAAGATACTCAAACCCTAGCCAAATCAATTATTTAATGCATACAAATCAAAAGGAATTCCCTAAACAGTCCCTATGTTCAAATTTTCCTCTCAAACCGCTAAAAAACGCTTCCTAAAATGCTCTAATGGGCTGGTCGGGCCGATCGATCTCCGCAGGAGGAGGAGATCTGTCGCTCTTTGCGACTTGCCGGTCCTGTGCGGACCGGTCCAGTGGACCGGTCTAACACAAACTTGGCCCCAAGCTTGAAAAGAGTGATTACAATGTCAACAGAAAATAGAGTTCATCAACAAGTTTCAAGGATATTATTAACAGAAATCAAGTTATAACAGTATTTCTTTCATTTACCATCACCTAATATCATGAGTTCATGAATAAAAAGCAAAGAAAAGGGATATATTTAATACAGAAAATATCAACAGCAATTGGACAGGAATTGCTAGTGAAATTTGACTTTTATGCCCTATAATAGCGGAAATTGGAGAAATGAGCTCGCATGTTTTCTTGGGAACTATACCCAGAAATTTTTAATAGACCCAAATACCTCCATTTGATCTGGACTACTTTTAAAATTCGATGCAACCATTTGCGAAAAAATTCAAACATTCTACAAACCTTATTCGAATCATGTTGGAAACATGTTATTATTCGAAGATAAGTTCGAACAAGATTTGAATAAAATTTAAACATCGTTTGAATAAGATTTAACCAAAGTAGATCTAACAAAATGCATTCCGTCAGCTCATACAGAGCAAACTTCAAGCTCAATATAACAGAGTGCAATCACAACAAACTATAGCTATAATATAGAGTAAAAAAATTATAAAAAAAAAAAGTTAAACAAAAAAAAAACTATAATATAGAGTAAACTACAGCTATGGCGCATCATAATGAGAAGAATTAAATCATTGCACAACAAATCAATTACCATATTCTTACAATAACAATAAGATGAAAGTAAAAATATGTTATGAAGGCAATGAAAACTTAACTTGACAAGTAAATAGGTTATGGCATCTCACTCCATATCAACTACACCAACAGTAGACCGCATCCTTCTCCCCCTTTGAAGGCCTTCATTTTTTTCTTTGAATTGCCACTCTTAGGATGCATAATAATAATAATAATAATATAATTTTTAGCAAAATAAAATAATAATAATATCATAAATGATGTATAAATATTTTATATAACATTTAGATACAAAGGTAGAAATATATTGAGATTAAAATAAATGATAATCAATGGTCAAGTAAAATAACATCAAATAAAAATCTATATTGCACTCGTCTCATAGTAAATCCAATTAATTTGAAATTCATTTTGTGTTAGAAAATTTGATCACACTATCAAAACCCAAATTTTCTGAACTAACTCCACTCTTTTAGACTTTAAATAGAAGATGATTGTTATAAAATAAAAAGCCAAACTTATTATAAGAATAAATCAAACGTAATTTGTACAAATAAGCATGAAATACTTTGACTAGAAAAATGTAAACATTAAGAGGAATTTATATATTTATAATAGCACTAGTGGTGCCATGTTTTTTATCTTTAAAAACAACCACTAAATTTGTTAGATTTAAATAAAAATAGAAACTAAATTTCACCCTCAATATTTTGGAAATTATTAATGATTTAATCTTAGCATCATATATATCACTGCTAAATACATAATTTTGTTGGTTAATTAATTGCATTATTGAATAAAAAACATAATAATATATATATTTATCAAATTTTATTAAAATGATTTTTTGAAAAAATATTCTTAGAGCATGAATCTAAGATTAAGAGAAAGAGGGGAGATTTTCATGGAGCGGAATGTGGAGCTTTCCTTAATTTCGCAGACCTTTCATTTTTTTTTTTTTGCCTTCTCTTTTTGGTGAACGCTACCCTTTTTTTAGTGGATTTAGTGAAAATTTTTATTGCTTCTTTATCTACACTTTTTTTTGTGAAAATTAGAATACTCTCTTAAATTTCATCTTGATCCACAAAATAAAGCCTCTTTTATGCAACTAAATTTGATTTCATCTCTTGGATAATTGGCCACAACTCACGGATGAATTTTTAAAATTATTGCAGAAGCTTACATTAAATATTCACTTTGATTTTCAGCAACTTTTGAGTACTCTCTTGAAGATCATGAATGCTTTGGAAGCTTCAGAAAAAATTCAAATAACCTACCCTGTTTAATTTTATAAGTGCCTCATGTATCAATTAATTTATATAGTTTATCATCAAGATCCTCTTGGATCAAAACTGACCTATTGTGATCCAATTTTTGCATCTACAAATACCCAAGTTTATATCTTGAGTGTATCACCTCAAGTTGATTTGCCCAACTCTTTGAATACTTGAACAAATTTTAATTTTATTGATTGTAAACAAATCCTTTAGAAAACTTTTGACTCAATCATCTATTTCAAACATACAATTTTAACCATCGAATAAATGTTGATCATTAAAGATAAAACATTAACTAAAATAAATTTATGACGAGAAACATTACTCAAAATAATATGAGAAGAAGTCAATAAAGTCTCATGGCCCAATTAAAGTAGTAAATGAGTTAATCATAAACAAGTAAGGTTTTGCTCGACTCCATTCATTTTGAATCAAAATATGAAAGAGCAAAAGTTCATTAACGAGCAAAAAAAAATCTTATTCGTGCTTTACTTTTACAATACCAAGCCAAATTATGTCCATATGCATAAGAAATTTTTACTGTTGAAAATTAAATTGTGAGTATAATGAACTTTATGTATAGTTATATATAAATTAATAAGCATATCCCCTATCCAAAAAAAAACCATAATATGGAGCTAAACATAGTCTAATTGACTCTAGTCCGTATTAGGATTAGTAAGCAAGTTGAACTATCATGGTTTAAGCTTGACTCATTTATTTATTTACCGAACCAATTTCTGAGCCAAAGCTATTACCAAAAATTGAACATTTTTAAAACCTAAGCTCAGCCAAAATTCTATATATTAATTATTGTAAGGTTAGCACTAACTACTAAGAAGTGATTTGCATATGAACAGGTGCATTACATTTATGATTTATCCAAGTATCACATTGCTATTTTCAAGGAAGTTGCAACAAATGCATCGTGTATTTCTCATCGTGTTTGATTTGAATTCTTGGTGTTCATAACTTTTATTTCTAACAATGGAGCCCCAAAAAGAACCACCACCAGACCTAAACATGCACGTACAAACTAATACTAATTAAAGAAAAATGATTAAGTTCTAATGATGAAGAGACGATCTAAGTATAAGACAATGGCATTACGCACTGTAATACAACAGATACAGATTTGTTTTTTTTTTAAGGACCTGAGCAAGCAAAAATACAGATAAAGCACTAGGACGTCCAAAAGGACACGCCGATCCTTAAAATGAAGAGATTTGCGCTGGAAAAAAAACAATAAAAAAGACGACTCCTATTTTAGAAGCTAATATAAGTAAATCAAGTAATACTCAATTGGTCAAATATGGGTACAACCTCTTTACTAAACAGGGTAAACTTACATAGCAGAATGTCCCTTGATCCGGTGCTTGTGGGAGCCTCATGCTCTTGGTATGCAATTTCTTAATAATCAAAATTTAATTCCAAGAAAAATAGTTTAAACAAACTATCAGAAACATCGATTAATCGACTCAATACACATCCACCACACCTAGAAGTAGAAATAATTTTACCAAAGATCTGCAGTAAAATCAAAGAATCGGTTTCTGGAGAAAATCTTTGCTCAAATAAAGTTTTAAGCATGAGATACTTCGACATAAGAAAAATCATTAACACAAAAAAAATATGTATTAGCACCGAGGTTTTTCAGTAAAATACAAACATTGGAGTGGTCTTTCTAAGCAAAACTCCTGATCATTTACCATTATCATCCTATCAAGGTTTTAGACTAACGTCCTAGTATCATGTATACATTGGCAAATCCGTTACCATCCTAAAAAAATTGTACGCTAAAGCCATAGTATCAAGCATTGGCAAAACCATTATCATCCTATCAAAGTTGTACACTAAAGTCCAATAAGCTCTCTTAAACCACTTAATTTTGCAGGAACAGTTTGTCTTGACTTGAAAACAGCATGATCGGGTGATTGCATTGGCCCTTCTACCCATTAATTGGTCGGATAGTCTACGGATTATGTCAATTTTAGATGACGCCAACCATAACACTTAGATTGATACCCCTTACTAACAAGAATATTATTTGATTGTTCAACAAAACAAAAGAAGTGAAGCAGAGGTGTCTAAAGACCATTGGCCATATCAATTTCTCTCAAATCACTTCATTTGGCATAAGTTGATTTAAAGTAAGTGCAACACGGCTCGGTTCTTGCATTGTCCTTCCTACCGGTTAGTTGGTCAAGTAGTCTATGGGTTGTATCAATTTTCAGAGGAATCCAAACATGGCATGCTCATATTGATTGACACACCCTAGGATAAGGTTAACTAAATTTTATTTGAGCATTTTACCCAGTAGGGGTAAAACTAAATTAAGAAGGATTCAATACACGCCTATTTATCAGTACCCCCAATATGAACAAACCAGTATCACGCCTATTGTAATTTCCTGTGAACATCATCAAAAAATTAGCTTGATCGGGCACGAATCTCGAGGCAAAAGCCAGTTGGAAACTTCAAAAATTAATTTTGGGAGCACCCGAACTCCGATTTCAGCGATCTTACAGTCAAACTGAGCGTCTCGGAAATACGAACCCGACGACACCAAGATCAACCCAATCCGAGCCCAAATGAGTCCAAATCAAGGGCTCAAAGTGCTGTCAGAAGGTTCAAACCGCAATTTGAGTTACCAAACGGTCTCCGATTTTGACGAGCGTATACTCGAATCGAACGGCTCGACGAGACGAATCCAACGAGCCCATGATCGCCGAATTCTGACATCATTAAGGCCTCCAAATGTCCAACGAACGGTGCACGATCGAAGGGTTCACTATCGGCCATCCATTCAAACCACTCCCTATTCGCCCTTGATCTCACACATATTTACGGGCCATGCCACTCCAGAAAATCTATAAATAGAGCCCTCATTCTTCACAGAGGAGGATCCAAGCAAGAGAGAGAAGAAGAGAAGAGAAGGAAGAAGAGAAGGAAGAAGCTCCTCCTCGACAGACGCCGGACCACCGCCAGACCACCGCAGAACCACCGCCGGACCACCACAGGAGCATCGTCGGACCGTCGTCGGACCACCGCAGGAACCTCGCCGGACCACCACCGGAGTTTCATCGCACCACCGCCTTAAGGCCCGACATTCAGACCCGACGTCCTGCTTAAGGCCCGACATTCAGACCCGATGTCCTGTTAAAGACCAGACGTTCTGCTCAAGGCCCGACGTCCTGCTAAAGGCCCGACGTCCTGCTCAAGGCAGGATTATCAACACCCGAACTTCTAAGTGATTTCAGGCCTAACACCCGACTTCTATCAAACAGTTACTAATTGTAAATCTAATCGCCCTGAGAGGGGATTCAGTTCTTTGTAACCGACTCAAAAGTCTAGTGGATTTATTTCAACTGGGCTAGGCCCCGTGATTTTTTCCCTTTCTATAGGTTTTTCCACGTAAAAAATCTTGCTTTCTCTGTGTGTGAGCTAGTTATTCGTACAACGCTAAGACGTAGAATTAAATCTCTATCGCCGCGTATTTTCTAGCACGCAACATCCTGTAAAGCTGATTTACCTCCTTATGGTTCGTAATTCTTCTCCATTGCTATTCCTTTTTGTCTTTTGCTTTCAAATATGTATTTTTCCATGGAATCAAGTATTCAAGATTTTGATGATTTGAGTGTACAAAAGAGAAGCATTCTCAATGTGTGCCCCTTCATCCACTGTCCTAAATGTTACTTCTTTTACGGAGCTCAGCTACCTCTGAGTTTAATTGTAGATATCATACATTGGCATATTTAGTATGCTTGGGGCTGTGTGTGCGCGCATATGTGTGTCTGAGAGAGAGTGTGTGTGAAGTTAAATGTGTGAAGGTAGCAGCATTGTTATTAAGCATGTGTTAATAAGTAATAAGACATTGCCCAGTTGGACTCCAAAGCTAAGCAGCAGACAGACTGATAGTGCAGAAAGCAGGCAAAGTAAAGCAAGCCGTAGCTGACAATGGAGAAGTTGTGAGGAGAGGGTGGGGTGGAAGGTAGAGAGAGCCAAGAGTGCCATGTAAAGAGACTTCCTATAATAAAATCATTGAACCAACCATATCATGCAAATGCAAACATTAATCTCACAAAATGGTCATTTTTATGTGTGTTTATGTGTGCTTCTGCACTTAAAAGAGGAGAGAGAGAGAGAGAGAGGAGAAGAAAGTGGAAGAAGAGCTAAAAGTGCCTAGTGATCATAGCTAAAAAGAAATGCAGCCATCAAGAGCAATCACAATCTCGGTAAGTCAAAATCAACATCACTATTATGAGCCAAACAGGTGACAATCTAGAAAGGAACCAGGAGACAAGCTCAGCGTTGATTGTTGTTGGTGCTGCTATAAGGCTGAGAGGTATGAAGAAGAGACTATGCAAATGTGAGTTCAGCATTGCTGTTGCTGCTGTTATGAGGCTGCCAGGTAAGCAAGAGAAATTGTGGATGAGAGTAAAGACTAGAGATGAGCTAGGTAAGCTACAATACATTACACAAGCTTTGATTGGAGTTAAGTTAGAATTTTTGTGTCTTCCATACAGGGTTTTTTTTTTCAGTTCGATCAAGTCATCAGAAACTAGATCTAAAACCCAATCAAATTCATTCAGCTTAAACTAGGTTTTTTAGAATCAAATTTGGGTTTAAGTTTTAGGTTACGGCAGAACGTAACTCGATCAAATCAACAAGCAAAACAGGCAACCATATATAGCATATAAAAAACAAGAATTAAACATGAAAGATGTTATATGCATTATGCAATGGCCACTCAAAATCAAGAACTTTTAAGACATAAATTTGGCCAAAATTACCTTTGAAAGTCCAGTCAGTCCATCTTTAACTTTTGGAATGATCAAGATATGGGTCGAAGCTTGGGGATTTATATCTCTGAAGGCAAGAGCCTATTAAAATTACCATATTGATAAGTAATAAAAACATTAGACACAAAATACTAAAGAGAAATAAGCACACGCTAACTGCCATTTAAGAATCTAAATGCAAGACAGTATAATAAAACTCTTTACGAGCTAATGAAAAGCTATAATTTTTACGGTTTTGTATATTCGGACAGATTTAAAGCTAGCATTAAAACAAAAGGAAAATCATATACCTTATCATCCTCATAAACCACAGTGGCTGGAATTTCTTTCTTGATAATTTTGTCAAATCTGCAATAAAGATGGGCATGCTATCAATACCAACAGGAGTTGACAACGTCACAACAACACCAAGCTCTGCCTAAGTGGAACATATTTGATAAATAACTGATAAAAATCTTAAGTATATATTCATCAGTCACAGGAAGCAAGCAAATCAATATTCCAAGTAGGATGTCACTTAAGTTGTTTTATATGATAGCTTTTTTGCTTTCGAAATGTTGAAGATGAGAACGAGATGCATTCTAAGTGCTCTGATTGCTTTGAAGAGTTAGGTTACTGGTGCAAGTGCTTCGATTCAGCTCTATTCAAATTCAATAACTCAGCACCGATGATTCCTTGTTCATTTCTAACGTCTCATTTTAAACGTAAAATTGCTATTAATATGGTTGCTCTGCTTTTCTTGACTTGTATTTTGCACTTTAGAACAATTCTGTGATGCAGGACTACGTATGAAATGTTTAATTCACTTAGATTTTGCACAACTTATGATCAGAATAACTCTAGAACAAATCTACTAGCAAATTCAAACAACGAAATAAAACAATTAGTGGTTATCCGCTTAGGTTTGAAATCACATGATAAGAATTTTGAAGCTTCCAAAATAAATAGAAAATCAACACGATGAGCCGTAGTAGTTTTCAAACTAATCCCTAATCTAACAATGAGAATTAGGATGCATCAAGGTGCACTCAAATCCTACGATTACTAAGCTTAAGCAAGAGCAATGCGGAAGAGTCCGTCGTGACTGCAATCAAACCAATAAGAGTTTAGACTAAAAGGAATAAGATGCAAGGGAAAAGATAAACCTTCGTCAGGGAGAGGTGGAGATCCTCTACTCGATGCCTTTGAAGTGTTCGTCAATAGCCTCTACCAAATAGATCAACGTGCGCTCCAAGTAATCCTTGACGGTGAGATCAACTCTTGATTCACGTCGAAGAAAGTAGATTGTAGGATGTCTACGAAGCCGTCTTCGTCCCAAGTTATGTCGTAATCAGTTTCAGGATCCGCCATTCATGGATGATTGGGAGTAGAATCGCCTTGGCTCTTGATACACTTCTCAAATGGTAGCAAAGAGAAAGAAGTTTCTCTTTGCAAGTAGGGAGAGAACAATTCCTAAGTTCCCTTTTCAAAGTTCTGAAAATAATCTCAGATTTTGGAGCTAAAACCTGAGAGAAATTTCAGGTTTCTATGATTAGGGGTAAGGGGAATTGGAAGGAGAATTCAAGCCTTGATTCCAGTAAGGTATTGAAGTGAGAGAGAGGGAGCTTGAGAGAGAGAGGGGAGGAAGGGGGGCGGCGGGATAGCAGGGAAATATGAGGGATTTCTATTGATTTGGGAAATAGAATAGGAAATAATGCTTAGGAAAATCGGCTGGGGCAATGTGAGGGGATTTGAAATTAGTTTCCAAAGCAATATGGGGAGAATAGGAAATAATTATTAATTAAAGCCAGGATGGAGGTGAAGGGACCGGCAGCATCTATAGGGGAAATATGGGTTTAATGCACTCAATTGTGGTTACTTAATTTGGGATTGGGATTTAGGAAAGAAATAATTAAATCCTATTTGAATTTGAAATTCAAATAGAATTGATTTAGTAACTTTCCAAAAATAGGATGATAAATTAGAAAAGAATTCAAATTTCAAATTAATTGAATTTGATATTTTGAAAATCTTCCCAAAATTAATTCACCCAAATTAGGCAAGGGTTTCAATGGGAAACGGGAATGGGAGAGCGGCGGTGGCTAGGTGTTGGGCCGATGGTATGGGGAAATTGGGTGGGGATTTTGGCCGTGGATATGAGGAGGATGGGGAATGGGGTTCGGAGCAATGGAGGTCCGGCGATTATGTGAGGATTGATGGGAGGAATAAAGAGAAAAAAGAAAATAAAGAACGAAACCACGAACCCGACTTATCTAGGTTGGTGGGTATTGCGTGATCCTCCCTCTCCTAGGGATCTCTCTCCATGAGCACACTCAAGCTCTCTCAAACTCATCCAAGAAGAAAATTCATAAGCAATCATTCATTACATGAAACAATAAGCAAATGGCTATATATAGCCAAGTACAATGGACTCAAAGAAAATAAAAGACTCAATTTCCCTTTGGGCTCATACATGACACATCCCAATAAAGAGGTACAAACAGAAAGACCAAAATAACAATAAGCAAAAAATACATAAATAATGAAATAATAAAAAGGACTCATAAATACAAAGACTCGATCGTGGCCTTAGATCGCCGGCCACGTCTCTGATAAACCTTCCACGATCTGATGTCCCCATCATTTTGCTATCATGTGTTTGACAATATTGCAGCTGGTATGCGATGTGTTGTTCCAAATGATTGTTGGATCATTTTGTCCAACGCAAACTGTACTTCACATCTACGGTAAGTTGGTAACCATACTTATTTCCTGTTACATCCTGCAACCTGTTACGGATTTCCTACTTTATAGGACTTCAGGTGATAGATTTTCTTTTATGCTCGTATATGCAGCATAACAACATTTGCATGTTGTTGTTTTGTCAAGGATGACTTGGAAAACTTTTATTCTTGCTAGAATCCAAATTTGTTGAATTGAAACTTGCAATTTTTTATTGGATCAAGGAGGATTATGGTAAACAACTACGCTTGGGTCATTTTGGGTCATATATAGGAGCCCACAGAAATATATCTTGATATACATTAATGGATAAAAATTTATATTTTCTCTCAAATTTGTATGTCTACTGACTAGAAGCAAACACTTTGATTTAATGCAGGACATAACAACAATACTCAGGGGAATATTTCTCCTTATAACAACTTAAGGCTGGATCTTCAAATTGGTGACTTTAATCTCTATTCCTTTCATCTAATTATTTTGAATTTTGTGGGCTTATTTTAGTTGTCAAGTCCATTAGAAGCTGAAAAAAAAAAGTTCATTAGATGCTGAATTCTTATATTCATTTAAGGATTTCTTAAGAAATTTTAAATTTTGACGACTTCTAAATTATTGCCTAGAGTTATTCAAACATGTTTTTTTTGGCTTTTCATGAAAGGAAACTAATATATAGCTAAACTAAAAGTCAAATTATGATTTTTGGTGTGCTTTGTGCTTCTAATTCTATGTTCATATCACTTAAGACTTTTTTTTTTTTAACTATACCTTAAGACTTACAGCATCAAACTACTTTTAAAGCTTATGTTTATGAATTAACATGTTAATTAGAAGAAGGGCATATTAATAGTCATTCAAAAAATTAATAAATGATACCATTTAAATAAAATTGGGAATTCATGGTTCTAGATAAACACACAATCACTATCGTGAGGATTAAAATTACATTCCTACATTAGATGACAAGAATAACTAGAGGAATTTTCATATGATTAACAACAACAGCAACAACATTAAGCCTTTATCCCACTCTGTGGGGTCAGCTACATGAATCTTTTTTCTCCATTGTGTCATGTTAAGAGTTAAATTCTCATTTAAATCTAATAAAGAAGGATCATTTCTAATATTTTCTAACCAAATCTCTTTAGGTCTATCGTTACTTTTCTTAACATAAATTAAATCCAATACATCTACTTTTCTAATTGGGTCATCAGTAGGCTGCCGTTTTATGTGGCCAAACCATCTAAGGTGACTCGACTCTCTCTAATCTTATCTTCCAATAGAGCAACTCCAACCTTTTCACATATATGCTCATTTTGTATCATGTCTCTAAGAGTAAAGCCACTCATTCACCTAAGCATTCTCATCTCTACAACACTTAATATAATGCTTCTCTTTTAATGAACAACATTCTGCAACTTTAAAAGATTTCTTTAAACATTGCAATCTACCTCATTCCATAAAGCTTGAAATTATTGAAACAAATTAGTTGAACATCTTTAAAGATTTTAGCCAAATGTTGCAAATGAAAAAATCAACAAGGCAAAGCTGAGATAAACTTAAAAAGAATAATATCTATCATTCAGGAAATATAGGGACTAATTGAATAATCAATTTTAAAGTTAAAAAAAAAACAACAATTCTTGTGTTTCAATATTGTAAAGTTTATAGATTTTGCAACTTTTTTTTTTAAAACCACCTTATTATCATTTGATGTTTCATTAAAGGCCTTGCATGCATGCATAACAACTAGACGACGGGTAGCAGCGGCACGCGACTAGATTCGGCCTCAACGGACGGCGACAGCAGCACGCATGACGAGACAGCAATTTGAGTGATGTGGTTGACGAGACATTAAACACGAAGGGTTTGGCGACAACGCGACTGTGATTTTGACGACGACCTAGAAAATTTCAAGTTCAGTTTAACACGTTTGTCATATGGGTCGGGTTCGGGTCGTGTCAGATTTTGACACCCCTACAAGTAGTAGTGATGCAAGACATAAATGCAAAGATGATTGAAATAAGAAATTTGCACATTTTAAATTTAGAGAACAATAATAAGCAAAACTTTTGTTGATTTTAAATGATAAGACAAAAAAATCATAAGATGATAAAACAAGCTTAGGTCAAATTACATGCGTAGGAGTTAAGATCCGAAAATAGTCAATTAATCAAACATTGCATACATGGAAGATTTTCAACAAAATCTCTATGCTAACAATGAGATTAGTCGCTATGCAAGGATCCTACACGTAATTCTCTAATTCACTAGGCTTTTAGCAGAGAAAATTATCATGATAGTTGTGAATCAAACTAAAACCACAATTAAAAAGTGATTGGATGTAACGAACCGAATGGGTGGCCGGTTCAACCCCCTTTTAATAAGTCGTGACCCCAACAGGGGTCGGTGCTGCTCGTGAAACAGAGAGAATGGGTGACAGGGGACTTTATGCGAGAGAGCGAGATGAGTTCCGTTTTTCAAAATTTAGCAAACGATTCTTCTAAATGCTAAGAATTAATGATTCATTTTCTTTTCTACCGTTAAATGAGTGATAATTTTGGAAGAAATTTTTGTGGACAAGAAGGATGATCGAGAAGAAAAGGGAAGAAGGTTTGTTGAAATTCTTC